GGAGAACATCTTTGGAATTTAAGGCTGGGCAAAGAAGCCCTAGACTTGATACCAAAGGTATCATCCACAAAAGGAAAAAACTGATAAATTAGACTTTATCAACTTTAATTTTTAAAAGATTTTATTTATTTATTCATGAGAGACACAGAGAGAGGCAGAAACACAGGCAGAGGGAGAAGCAGGCTCCCTGAGGGGATCCCGATGTGGGACTCGATCCCAGGACCCTGGGATCATGACCTGAGCCAAAGGCAGATGCTCAACCACCGAGCCACCTGGGTGCCCCAGACATCATCAACTTTTAAAACTTTTGCTTTATGGGACGCCTGGGTGGCTCAGGGGTTGAGCAGCTGCCTTTGGCTCAGGGCATGATCCCGGATTCCTGGGATCACGTCCCACATCAGGCTTCTTGCATGGAGCCTGCTTCTCCTCCCTCTCTGCCTATGTCTCTGCTTCTCTTCCTGTGCCTCGCATGAATAAATGAAATCTTAAAAAAAATGAAACTTTTGCTTTGTAAAGACCCTATTAGAAAGATGAAAAGACATGATTCAGACAATGAGAAAATATTTGCAATCCACATCTCCAACAAAAGACTAGTATCTAGAATTTATAAAGAACTCTAAGAACTCAAGAGTAACAAACAATTCAATTAGGAAAAAGAGCAAAAGGCATGAATGGACATTTCACCAAAGAGCTTATAGAGATGGCAAGTAAGCATATAAAAATATGTTCAGCACCATTAGCCATTGGAAAAATACAAATTAAAGCCATGAGATATCACTACAAATGCATTAGAATAAAAATGATGACACTACCAAATGCTGCTGAGGATGTGGGGATCATCATACATTTGATAACCCCAAAGCAGTCTAGAAAACAGTTTGTGTTTGCTTTAAACAATTAATATACAATGACCACAGGACCCAGATATTGCCGTCTTGAGCTTTTATCCCAGAGAAATGAAAACCTCTGTTCACACAAAAATCTGTCGGCTAATGTTTATGATAACTTTCTTTGAAATAGCCCCAAATGGTAAGCAACCTGGATGTCCTTCAATGGGTGAATAGCTAAACAAAACCATAGTTCATCCATACCACAGAACCCTACTCAGCCATAATAAGAATGAACTATTGATGTAGGTAACAGTCTGGATGAATGTCCAGAGAACTATACTGACTTAGAAGAGCCAATCCCAAAAGGTTACACCCTGGAAGAACACTATTTATATAATATATCTAAAATGACAAAATTCTAGAAATGGAGAAACAGTTATTGCTAATAGGGTCAAGGAAGAGAGGGAGGTAGAGAGAAGCTGGTGTGGTTATGAGGGGTGAAGACCAGGGATCCTTGTGGTGATGGAAATATTCTGAAGCTTGTGTATCAATGTTAAAATCCTGGTTATAAAAAAAATAATAATAAAATAAAATAAAATCCTGGTTGTGACAGCACGGTATTGCCTTGCAAAATGTTACCATAGGAGTGAACTGGGCAAAAGGTACATGGTTTCTCTACTGTTTCTTACAACCGAATGTGAATTTACAATTATCTCCAAATAAACATCATTAAGTTTAAAAAGTCAGGTGCTGCACAGATCATCCCAGACAGATATTGAATCACCAGGACCATGGCAGGACTTGGATTGAACCAGAAGCCCTACCCAGGAGTCATGTCTTACATACTGTCTGTGAGCTAGTACTGCTTTCCAAACTGCGTAGGGCACTGAACCCAAGGCTGGAGTTCTCCTAAAGACCTGCAGTCACCTTGATACTCTACCCCAGGGAAACATCTCCTGGTCCTCTCGTCCTTTGAATTTCCATTATCTGAATGACCTGAAGTCCCCAGTGGCCTAGGTTTGGGAAGAAGAGGCCTTTATGGTTGAAGATCTCAGACAACGGTCACATGCTATTGGGTAGGTACCAGCATACCACCCTCAGAATGTCAGGCTGCACCAGTTGCAGCTTTGTGGTCACCAATGTGTAAAGTGGACTTCACACTGTCTTCCAGAAGACTTCTAGCAACAGGCCAAAGGACATTTCTCTTCTGCTATTAGAACCTTGCGCATCCTCCACAGGACTGAATGCTTACTTACAGAGTCTGAGTCAGCCCACAGGAACAGGGAGTTGAAATTTGAAATGACAGTCTTTGAACTTCAAGGAGACTAAACTGGTAGGGACTGAGACATCGTTATGTAAAACGTCTAGGTTGGGGTAGCCTGGGTAGCTCAGCAGTTTAGCGCTGCCTTCGGCCCAGGGCGTGATCCTGGGGTCCTGGGATGGAGCCCCACGTCGGGCTCCCTGCATGGAGCCTGCTTCTCCCTCTGCCTGTGTCTCTGGCTCTTTCTCTCTCTCTGTCTCTCTCTCTCTGTGTCTCTCATGAATAAATAAATAAAATCTTTAAAAAAAAAAGTCTAGGTTGTTTCTATTGGCCAGTGTAATGGGACAGGTGGCTTATGAGGTTACTTATAAGCAAATAAGCTACCTTTACTAAGCACATCTTGGTGAAGACGGAGCACCTCTGCCACCCTGCAACATTCCTGACTACACCTGCTATAATGACTGCCTTGTCCAATTTTCTACCTTCATCATGATGTCCTCGCCATCGGCAAGGGGAAAAAAAAGCAATGAATTGACAGTGTCCTTCCACCATTAAATACATACACCTCCCCGAGGAGGCCTGAGCCTGTTTTCTTATATGTAAAATGAGAGACACAGGTATTTGAAAAACCTGTAAGTATTCTTCGAGGTCTTATAATTCCTGACACTAGGAATGTCCTCATTTTCCAGTGCTGCCTTGCAAAACTGGCACTGCAGCCAGGTAAAAATAAAACTATATCCACCAGAATCTTTCCTGGAAGGGGTAAAAACAAGTCTTTCTGTAAGAAAATAGTAGACCGATGGATTGTTTTGTTGGGTAAAGCAGGCCCCGACAGTTTAAAGGAAGAGTGCAGGGCAGCTCTGGTGGCTCAGCGGTTTAGTGCCACCTTCCGTCTGGGGCCGATCCTGGAGATCTGGGATCGAGTCCCACATCGGGCTCACTTGCATGGAGCCTGCTTCTCCCTCTGCCTGTGTCTCTGTCTCTGTCTCTCTCTCTGTGTCTCTCGTGAATAAATAAATAAAATCTTTAAAAATAAATAAATAAAGGAAGAGTGCAGAATAAAACATAGGATGAATTACTGTGTTAAGGGATGCCTGGGTGGCTCAGTAGTTTAGTGCCTCCCTTAGGCCCAGGGAGTAATCCTGGGGTCCCAGGATCGAGTCCCACATCGGGCTCCCTGCATGGAGCCTGCTTCTCCCTCTGTCTATGTCTCTGCCTCTCTCTCTGTCTCTCATGAATGAATAAATAAAATCTTGTTTAAAAATTACTGTGTTAAGCAATGAAAGGAATTTGGATTTTTTTTGCCTTCCTCCCCAAAGAAGAAAAGAGGTGCAAAAAAGAGAATGAGAGGACAATAACACAGGGCATGAAGGAGTTTTAAAACCAAAGATGATTGGGGTGCCCAGGTGGCTCAGTGGTTGAGCATCTGCCTTCGGCTCAGGGCATGATCCCGGGGTCCTGGGATCGAGTCCCATGCTGGGCTCCCCGCAGGGAGCCTGCTTTCCCCTCTGCCTATATCTTTGCCTCTCTCTGTGTGTCTCTCATGAGTACATAAATAAAATCTTTTTTTAAAAAAAAGAAAACAAGGATGACTAATGTTCAGTTTCAAGATATATACAGACATTACTGGGCTGTCGCCTCTGTCTCTCCAACACCTCCATGATAACTGCATCTCACAGAGGCTTGGTGTAAGCACTCTGTAGTGGAAATCAAGAAAAGAAGGGTAGTTTCAGTGGAAGGAACAAAAGAATGGTGAAAGAGGCAGTGTGGAGGCAGGAGGCCATGGTGCAGAGGGCCAAATCTGGAGGCTGGAGTCAGGATGTGGGCCAGTCTGACCAACATAGCAGCAGGGGGAACCCAGCTGACATCTAGCTTACTTACCCTTTTCCATTTACCACTTTCTCTACAAACCTTTGCTGAGCCTTTTCAAATGGCAATCTCCCCCCCCACCCCCGCTCCACATTTTTACCAACTTTGGTAAGACACTTAGCCCACTCTGTCCTGATTTATAGTTATTTGTATATCTGCCTGACATAGCTCACTCACTGGGCCGCACACCCTGTAGGGATTTGAGCCTCCTAGTGCCAAACATAGTAAGAGCTCAATAGTAATTTATTGAATGGAATTTGCTTCTTAGCCTTTCTCTTTTATTCCCCTGGGGTCTTTTGGTTGGAACGAGCCATACTGTTGAGACACAGCAAATAGTAATAATGACAATGAATGTGAACATAAAAGGTATTTCTCATTTAAATTTTTTTTTTCCCGGAGTGCTTACAAGCAGGAAATCATATATATATGTGATCAGGGTAGGGTGAGGGAGTGAGCCCTAGTATTGAACCACTAGCTCTTTTTTTTTTAAAGATTTTATTTATTCATGAGAGACACACACAGAGAGAAAGAGAGAGAGAGAGAGAGAGAGAGAGAGAGAGAGAGAGAGAGAGAGAGGCAGAGACACAGGCAGAAGGAGAAGCAGGCTCCATGCAGGGGGCCTGACGTGGGACTTGATCCTGGGTCTCCAGGATCACGCCCTGGGCCAAAGGCGCTAAACCGCCGGGCGACCCAGGCGTCCCTGAACCACTAGCTCTTCAACCACATTTTCAATTGACAAAGATCTGCATGGAATATACATTCATCCCCCATATAAAATTGTACAGATGTTTCAGAGAAAATTGCAAGAACAAACTTTAACCTCATGACTTCCATTATTTTGTAATAAAAGGCTTAAAGCACAATGTGAGCTTTTTTTAGATGCTACGTTCCAAGTGAGTAGTGTGTTGTTAATTTTTATATTAATGCAGGGTGCCAGCAGAACTCCGTGCAGAATCTAAAGAAGAAAATCACTTTCCCACAGCTCTGATACCTGGTGACCGACTTTAGCTTATTTTATTTTATTTTTTGTCATCTCCTAGATGAAATGAACATCCTTTCCACAGCGATGCAGTATAGACATTTCCAACACAAGGACCCTTCTCCCCATTGACAAGAGAGTTCCTTGCTAAATCATAGTTCTGTCACCAGCACATGTGAGTCCCTACTAAGCATTAATTGGTATTTATACTCTCAACACCTGCTTCTCTTTGAGAAGGAGACCTTTTAACATTGTTTTTTTCTTATTTCTAGGCATTGGGTACAGCTTCCTACCTTCCCTCGTGCATCTTCCTGAGAGCTGGAGATGACGAGATCCTCTACTTGTATTCCCCAGTGAAAAGCTGACAACACTCTATTGTCTGCCTACTAATGAGCTTTCTTGTATGGAAGATGATAAAGCAAAATCTAATCACAGCTATGTCCCCAAACACACTTCAGGTTTGTTCGCCTAGATCTTTGGAAGGCTTCAAAAAATTTTCACCCCAGATATTAAACTAGAATCCTCTCCTTCCTCATCATGATGTTTCTCTCCCCCTAGAGTTAATGGGATGTTCTTTCCCAAGTCCTGCTCTTGCCTGAACACTACCATCTTTACTATATATATATTTTTTTTTTTCATCTCTACTGTATCTACTGACAACATCTGCTTTCCTCCTATGTCTGTCTTTTGAATCTTATGGATTCAATGTGGTTCTTTAAATAGGTGATTGTAGGATGGAGAGGAAGAAAGAGGAGAAGAGAGGTAGAGTCACTGCATAGGCCAGACCACCTGGACACCAGAGGGGATGGCAGCAGGCCATTTGTGAACTTCCAGCTCTATGAAAATTTGAAAAACCTCAGGAAATTTTGAAAATTTGAAAAACCTCAGGAAACAGAAGCTCAGGAATTTTCAGCAGAGGGTGAGTGGTCTCTTCGTCAGGCAGAGGATGGCTACACCACTTGAAATGCTCCAGCATCTTACGGTTTCTCCAAGGATCCAAATCTTCACCCCTTTACCCTTCCCCCTTCCTCTTTATATTCATTATTCTTGTGGCTGATCTAGTGAAAGTTAAACAGCACTTCTAAATAGAAGCATTTGCAAAACTTCACAGGAGAAAGGAGGAGGAAGATGTGGCACTAGTACAAGGGCGTGAAGATACGTTTTAGCCTTTGTGTCTCCATAGTCCTTTAGGGCTGTCCCGCACTTGAGTGACAGATCACATAGCATTGCGCACATCCAGGTGTTTCCTAAGGAATGAGTATTAGTTAACAGGGAGAGAGAACTTCTGAAGCCTGCAACATTTTTCTTGGTCTGTGAAATTAAAGCAGAAGCCACTTTCAACTCATTCAGGGGAAAAAAAAATATGAATGTGTCTACTCGATCATATTAGGCTTGTCCATCCCATGTGACTCAGCTGCCTACGGAGCCCAGTCCCCATCATTATGACAGTCCTCCAGCTTCAGACACTAACAGACATGTGGCCTGTCATCCTTCTCCTGTGGGCCCTTCTCTCTTTGGTTCACATTTGGCTCAGCATTTGGCTCCTTGGCTCTCCTCCTGCATCCAAGAGGCCATTCTTGGCCTGGGGCTGGTCCCCTAACACACATACCTATCTCCCAGCCAGAGGAGTGCGGGTCTTTTTTGCCTGGCAACCATCGAGTCTCAGACACAGAAACCTTCATTCAGCATTTTAAATTAAAACCCGCTGCCAGGGTAAGGCTTGTGTGAGTGTTCCTGCTGATATAAATTGTCAGCTCCACTGTAGTTTCTATTCTTACATCTGTCAGGCAAAAGGCCCCAAGGAGTTAGATTGAAGAAAGAGACAATAGGTTGCCATAGATAATGTAAGGATCTGGCCTGGTCCATATGGTGGGTACAGTCAGTAACTGTTGTGCGCCAAAGTCGTGTTGGAATTCTATCATTTTCCCCTCTTTCTCATTTCCCCCATGCAACCTGTCCGCCAAACCAGTGGCAGGGGGGAGAAGCAGCAACGGGGAGTCCTGCTATAATTCATGGAAGAGATTCAGGATAGACTTCAGGATAGGTACAAGATTTGCTCATCTTTTCCTGTTTTAAAACCCTTAGAGCACATTTTGCCAACATTTACCAACGTGCTACCAACTGTGAATTTATGTGAAGAATCATGCATAGCATTTTAGGGTGATAATTCCATACTTAACATATTTGCTAGGTCTTTCTCTCAGGAAAGTTTTGTGAGTCCTCGATTGATTGTATTCCATAAACTAAGGGCTGAAAAGGAAGGGAATGCTGGGATGAGAGTGGAGGTGATGGGTTTCACAGGGGTCCCTGGCAACTGAGAAGACTTCAGAGTGGAGAATCATGCGGGAAAGAAGGTCCTTATGGTTTTAAAAATTCCAAAGAAACAAGGAGAGAAGCAGCTCAGAAACTCTGAGCTGCAGGTCAGAATTGTTATATGTACAGCTGATCCTTGAACAAAGCAGGTTTGAACTGTGTGGGTCCACTCAGATGCAGATTTTTAATACTATAACACTGTAAATGTATTTTCTCTTACGATTCTCTTAATAACATTTTCTTTTCTCCAGCTTACCTATAACATACCAAATACATGTTAATTGACTGTTCATGTTAAGGGTAAGGCTTCTGGTGACCGGTAGGCTATTAGCTAAGCTTTGAGGGAGTCGAAAGTCACAGAAGGATTTTCAACTTCATAGGGGTCAGTGCCCCACACCCCCAGCCCTTTCCCATTGCTCAAGGGTCAACTGTATATAACTTCAAATCGAGGTTGCAAATACTGAATACCCCACTTTAAGTTCAAATGTCAGAGCTAACGTAGAATTTCTTGCTTCATATTTGATAACAGCCCAAGTGGATTCAGCACAAATAAATTATCACGCTGTAAGGATCCCGAGGGAAAAGTTGATAAGCCAGATCCCATTCTCTCCACATGTGTCCCAACAAATACATCATCTTAAGAAGAATCTTATCAGATGGTAAGCACTTGGAATCTACCTATTGTGAATTCAGGGCAGCTGCCTTGGAACAGAAAAAGTCATTTATTTATTTATTTATTTATTTTAAATTTTATTATTATTATTATTATTATTATTTGAAAAAGTCATTTTTAAGCTGACTTACAAGTGGTGATAATTCCCCCCAGATTCAGAGCTGGCTTCCCTTTTTTTTTTTTGGAGGGCAGTTCCGAAGACAGGGATGGGGACAAAGGGATGACCTAGAGTCATCATCCCCCTTAAAAGTGGTGGAGGCAGGTAATCGCCAACATCTCCGTTCCCTCCCCCCTGGTTTTCCTCCTTTTCCCACGCCCCAGAGCCAACCACGTTGGTTACAAAAGCCAGATACTCCGAGAAGAATGAGCCCGGGCGGAAGGGAGGCTTAGCCAGGGATGCACGTGGGGGCCAAGGGCAGGCCTCGGGAGCACCCCCCCCCCCTCCCGCCGCGATCTGTGACTCAGCCCGGAGTCTCCGGGCTCCTCCCGGCTTCGCCCCGGAGGGAACACGAACCCCGCGGGCTGCGCGGAGCTCGGGCCGGACCCCGCGCCGCAGCTCCTCGCTCCCCCCGCGGCCTGCGGCAGGAGACAGGCAGGGCCCTGCTCTGATTGGCTGCCTCTCTCTGACGTACGCACCAGGCTCGGCCAATCAGCAGCGCGCACTCCCAGAGCAGAAAGATGAATTGTAACAGCCAAGGCCCTGGGAATTAAAAAAAAGAGAGAGAGCACCCCCCACCCACCCCAAGCCCCGCACAAGGCTTCTGGAGGAGCCCCCGCCGCCTCCCCCGACCCCCGAGAGAGCCTCCTGTCTTCGGCCGGGAGCCCTCGGGCCAGGCCTGCGTGCACCCCGACTCCTTGGCGCTCGGCCGAGTTCACACCGTTTCCGAAGTAGGTCAGCCCGGGCGGGTGGGAGGCCGCGAGGAGGCCCGGGGGTCGGGGGGTCGGGGGGGGGCCTGGGGGCTCCCCCCGCGGAGGCGGCCCCCGCGAGGTGCTCTCTCGCTCTCGGTCTTGCTCACACAGCCGCCGGACAGGCTTGCTTTCAAAGGATCCCACTCTCTCCGGCCGCGTACCATTGGTCAGGGACTAATACTCTGGGCAAACCTCTAGCAGGACTTAAACGTCAGCGTGAATGAAAACTCACTAGGAGACGGATGATGTCATCTTGATTCAGCTCTTTGTTCCTCGTGCTGTGGAAATTCATTGTTACTTATTAGGCTGGTGAGTTGTGTCTAAGAAGCACAACTGGTCCCCCCCCCACACACACACACACTCCAACCCCCCACCCCCCACCATACACACACCCAGGAGAATGCAAGTAAAAATAAATAGATGCCCGCGAAATTGTCCTAAATAACATATTGAGGAATGTGCATGTGAAACAAGTGGATGTGTCCTCAAAAACATAAACCTCATCCACATTCTTGAACACTCAGAACCCGTAGGCTGCTGCTATTCACGCAGATATTGGTAGAAAGCTCAAGTGCACTTTCCCGAGCGGGGACATGCGTAGACACGTGTCAAATAACGTTGAGAAGGGGACTGTCTTCTTTAAACATGACCTGCCTTCAAGTGTCATCTAGAAGTTTCCATTGCTCTGTTGTTTCCCCACCTGGCAAAACCAGCCCCCCTCCTCTTCTGGCAAAACGTCCGCCCCTCGAAGCCCCTTCTCAAATTCCCCCCTCTTTAGGAAATCTCTGTCTCCTGACTTTCAGTGATTATTTCTCTCCATCCAGAACCCCTGCAGCAATAAAGGAAGCCGACAGCACCCACCCAGGCATAGCTCTGGTATGACGCGGTGTCTAATTGTTTATTACACCATAACTCCTGGAAAGCCGTCGCCAGTGCGTCATATTTCAATGGTACATCATATGGACTGAGCACACATATTGCTCTAAGGACAAAGGGAGAAAACTAACGTTTACTGAAAGTCTAGGAGGTGCCTGCCGCTGCACTAAGGTTTTCTATCAATTTTTTAAAATTCTCATTTAAAGCTCATAACAGCCTTAGAGTAGAAGATTTGCTTTCCACCATTTTAAAGATAAGGAAGCAGAGGCTTAGAACAGTTACGTAACTTACCCAAGATCAAAGAGCCAATAAGCAGAGGAGCCAAGATTCAAACACAGCTATCAGACTCCCTGCTCTTTCTGCTACTCCCTGATTCTCAGTCTTGGCTGATTAGCTTCTAGAAATTTCAGATGCCTAGGCAGGCCCCAACTCTGAAGATTTTGATTTCAATTTCTAATCCCGGGAGAGGCAGGGAGTGTTTATTTCTTTCACTGCTCTGTTGCCAGCAATGCCTTGCCTATAGCAGCCACCAGAACATGTTTGTTAAATGAGTAAGTGAATTCAACCCATCTAGAAGAGTGGTTCTCAGGCCTGGGCTATATATTAGAAATCACCCGGAGAGCTGATGAAGGAATGCCTCTCTCTAGGCCCTACCCCCAGAGATTCTGATGCAATTGGGCTGGGGTGGGGCCGCCTGGCAGGGATCCTCATTTTCAAAACCTCCCCGGGGCGATTCACATGTGCAGCCCCGGCTGAGAACCATGGATCTAGAGTGAGGTCATGGGATCTGCAAACTTTTCAAAGCCGCACAGGTAATTTTGATCCGCAGCCAGAGTTGAGAACTGCTGCCTACACATTCAGCAGCCTCTCTCTGGGTTTTATAAATGGGAAAGCATTACTTTCTAAAAATAATTCTGTCAACAAGTATGGGCATGCTCACCCATGCACAAAAGCGTCCCCATTTGGGGTACATTACAGAAAAAACAATGGGGCCTGCTGTCAACTGACTTCTAATCTGTAACCAGTTCAGTGCTAACTTGTTCTTTGATCTTTATCTGTCATGGACTAGTTGGAGAATGATTTATGAAACTGACAGACTGGAAATCTTGTTTGGTAGCTAGGAGGAGAATGAATATCTTGTCTACGGAGCTAAAGGATAACTTTTAACCTCCATGAGCCTTGATGACCAATCTGCATGAGTGTTCATACACTGATGTGTATATTTTTCACTTATAAATATATGGGGACGGGGATCCCTGGGTGGCGCAGCGGTTTGGCGCCTGCCTTTGGCCCAGGGCGCGATCCTGGAGACCCGGGATCGAATCCCACGTCAGGCTCCCGGTGCATGGAGCCTGCTTCTCCCTCTGCCTGTGTCTCTGCCTCTATCTCTCTCTCTGTGACTATCATAAGTAAATTAAAAAAAATTTTTTTTAAATAAATAAATAAATATATGGGGACGAAAAAAATCTTAAAATGCACAGTGTTCTGCAAGTTGGCATATGGACACGAGGAAAAAAAAATAAAGACTCTGACTGTATGTGAACTCCAGACATGATTAGTAACGCTTCTAATCACCTGGAAATCAAGGAAAATGATGTGCCATGGGTTTATGTGTCGTTAGCATTAAGCTTTTCTTAAAGGGCATTACCCAGAACATATCAGAAAACAATTTACTATTAGGGAGAGATCTTATTACTTGGTGTAATAAGCCCGACCAAACCCTGATGCATTAAACATTTCTGTAAAAGTCATATTGCCATTGTATAATTATTATGAGCACATAAACAACAGCTACTGTTAAGAACCAAGAAATGGGAACATCTTAAAGAGCAAATTATTTTACAGTTGGGGAAAGCAACTTCTCGTACACACCATGAAATTTGTATGCAATTAGTAATAGGTGACATTCATTGAGCACTTAACGGTGCCCAACAGTCTTTGACAAGCTTTTAATGTATTCTCATGTAATCGTGCAACAAAGAGATGAACGAGGCACTGCTCTAATCTCTTTTCACAGTTAAGAAAACTGAAGCACAGAGAGGCTAAGTAACTTGCTCAAGGACCCACAGCAAGTAAACTGGGATTCAAATTCCTACAGTCTGATTTCATAGCGGATGGTTTTAGCTGGTATCCATGAGAAATACCTTTTTCTCCATGCTGATATTATGTGGTTTTAAGCAATTGCATCTTTTTTTCATTTTCTGTGACCCTGACATAGAGTAATCAGAGAAAATAGATTTCCAGAAAGAAGCAACTATTGCTTAGTCCCAAATTTAATTCCATACTCCCTCCTTTAATTTTTACTACTATACACAATTTCCAAAACACCATTCTCACAGAATTGAAATGCAGTTCAATAAATATGTTAAGCATCAATTCCGTGTAAGGTTACCCCACAGGATTAGAAAATGGGCAAAATACAGCCCTTGTCTTTAAGAATCTTTTAGAAATGCAGACAGATCCTGCATCCCCATTTAAAATCCTTTTTTTTTCCCCTTCATATGATTCCAAATCTCCAATCTAACCTTAGAGATTTGGCTTGATTTGGTCCCTCCACATTTTCCAGCTCCACATCTCTTTCCTTACCCTCATGGGCATGAGCTTCAAACTTATGGGGCTTCTCTTGGAACTTCTGATGATCCATATCCATGTCCTTTCCAGTGTCAGGGTCTCCGCGGCACCATTCCCACCATCTCTCCCTGCCCACTCTTGTAGCTGGAAACTCTCCTGCATCCTGCAGATGTCAGATGCTCGAACATCACTTTCTCAGAAAAGCCTTTCCTGATGGTGGGAGCCAGGTCCCATCTCGGCTCAAGTATCTCATAGCCTCCTCCACTTTTCATTCATAGAACTCACCCACTGTCTGTGATACTAATTTGTGTAGTCATTTGCTGAGTGTCTGTGTCTCCCACCTGCTTATAAAGTCCCATGAGGAGGGAGGAGAGCGTGTAGTACTCTATCCTCTGCAGCCGGCACCCTGCGTTCTACTACATGGTGGGATCCAAATATTTGTTCTAAGAAATGTTCTTCCATTTAAATATCATGTGTCCCTTTGGTCCTAGTGGTGGTGCTGGCTGTAACGGGTCCCAGGATTCTATGCAATCTATCTTTTGTTTTTTTCCCACACCCTGCATACACCTTCTCAAATTATCTCAAAGTTAAGATGTCACTTGCTTCCTGCTGGGACCCTAATATAGGTAAGAATTAGATGGGCCTCTCCCCCCAAAGAACAAAAAACAACACCCAACCAAAAAAAATAGTGGATCACATAAATTCATAGACAAAATTAAATACTTTTAAAAACTATTCAAATATTTTCATCTAGGGGCACCTGGGTGGCTCAGTGATTGAGTGTATGCCTTTGCTCAGATCTTGATCCTGGGGTCCTGGGAGCGAGTCCCACATCTGGCTCCCTGCAGGAAGCCTGCTTCTCCCTCTGCTTGTGTCTCTGCTTCTGTCTCTGTGTTTCTCATGAATAAATAAATAAAATCATAAATAAATAAATAAATAAATAAATAAATAAATAAATAAATAAATAAATCTAAATTTCTAAATACTACAGTAGCTAAGCACTTACCTGAAAACTAGATGCATATTTGAAGAACGAAGTCAGGATAGTGCGTATTAGGGAACAAAAAGCACGATTGAGTCAGTTCATGAAAAACATGCTCCTGGGCAGCCCCAGTGGCCCAGTGGTTTGGCGCCGCCTTTGGCCTGGGATGTGATCCTGGAGACCCAGGATCGAGTCCTGTGTCCGGCTCCCTGCGTGGAGCCTGCTTCTCTCCCTCTCCCTCCGCCTGTGTCTCTGCCTCTCTCTCTGTCATGAATAAATAAAGTTAAAAAAACAACAACAAAACATGCTCCAAGTGAGTTTCAACCAGGGGAGGCGCTCCAGATGCCTAATTGTGTCCCAGCTGCTCTTTCGAGGCAAGGACAACTGGGGATTGGGATGGGGGCGGGGGCAGTGCTTTTTAAGAATTGTAAAGTAAATACAAGTTTTGCTTTGTTCTGTTTTGCAAGACAAATTTATTCTTTCATCCTTCTCAGGGGCTAGAAATCTGAAATCAAGGTGTCAGCAGGGCCATCCTCCCTTTGAAGGCTCT